CGGGTCGAACACAACGCTGGGATCTTCAGAGCAAGATTGGCTTAGGGCAGAGCGCATTGCTGGGCTAGATCCCGGGATCTCAGACTGCTGGGCAGCCACAATGTCGGCCCCAGTCCTCAAAGACGAGTGATGAGTTCCCCATTCTCAGGGTGAGTCATTTGCGCGTAAGGAGCTGGGCTTGAGGGAAGAGGCAACATTCAGCCAGGATCCCGGCTTCGCTCACCTTCAGGACCCCTCCTCAGAGCTGCCTTGCTGCAGCCTTAGTTTCCCCACTAAGGTGCGCTGGAGAAGGCCGAGGCTCCTCCCGCCGCCCGCTTTCTTTCGGACGAAGGAAGAGCGCCCAGACTTGGCCCCTTTGGGAATGCAGGCTGCAGCGCCTACGGTCATTGTACGAGGAGGACGCAGCCCAGGAGATCCGTCCACCAATGCATCTTCCTGCAGGCCTGTACCCGCACAGGATGCAGCTTCCGTCCCTGCCCGTGTTCCCGCTGTGACTCATCTACGCTGGACGGGAAGATGGAGGGCCAGGAGATGGAGGGCCCAGTGTCCTGGTAGGCCCTCAGAGCCACGCAGGACAGCATGACCTCCTCTTCTCTGGTCCTTTCACCTGTTAACTTTCTCTAGAAATGGAATGACCTAAAATGTCACAGGGATCCAGAGAAGGGACACAGATTGTGGCCTCCTTTGGGCTGGTGGGGGTCAGAGCCCAACAGGAGCTCCCAGGCAGGGCTAGGGTGATGGGGTGGTCTGCTGCTCTGGCCTATTTCTGGGACTCCATCGGCTGGTTCCCAGCTCTTTCGAGTGGGGCAGAGTTGAGAGGGGACAGAGACCCCAGTGCCCCAATCCAGCAGGGCCCAGGGGCAGGCAGCAGGCGTCTTGGTGCTAAGCTCTGGCCTCTGCATTCCCACCTCCTCCTCCCTACCCCAGTGCAGCTGCCAGCTGGATCTTCTGAGGTACTGCACAGCCTTGTTTTGCCCAGGAACTTGCAAATGGCCTCAAGCCCAGAATCCCTGGGCTTTCATTTAAGTCCTAGTTTTCCCTAACTTCCTCCTCTCACCTGGATTGTTTCCCCCTCATCACCACCATACAGTTTATCTTTGAGTGTGAACTCCTGATCTTCCTCAGGATCATCTTTCTGATCTCTGACCAGCCAAACCTGTCCACCCCTCAAAGTATAGCTAAAATTCCACTCCCTCCCCAAGCTCCATAACCCCTTATGTGTTCTAGTACTCTCAGTTTGATGCTATCTGAATGTAGTCTTCTCAAAAGAAGTTTAAATAAGTTTGTTTAAATAAATTTAACAGTTTATATATGTTAGTCCCTTTTTAATGAGAAAGGGCAGGGCCTGTAATCCCAGCATTCACTTGAGTGTGGGAGTTTAAGACTAGCCTGGACAACACAGGGAGGCTATCTCAAAATAAAAGTGGAAACAAATGAGGAAGCAAATCCTTTACCAGGCCATGTATCCCAATTTATGAATTGAAAAATGTGTCTTCCCTGATAACTCCCCTTCCTATGCCTTGTGTCTCTTACTAGATGGTTACTTGTCCCAGTACAGAAACTATGCCTTAATAAATATGCAAAACTTCTAAATCTTTTGAAATTGTGCTGGGGAAAACTCAAATGTTTGGATAAAATGGAAGTATACTAGGGGCTGGGGCTGGGGCTCAGTGGTAGAGCACTGGCCTAGCATGTGTGCAAGGTGCTGGGTTCAATCCTCAGCATCACATACAAATAAATTAATAAAATAAAGGTATTGTGGGGCTGGGGTTGTGGGTCAGTGGTACAGTGCTTGCCTGTCATGCATGAGGCACTGGGTTTGATCCTCAGCACCACATAAATATAAAATAAAGATATTGTGTCCACTTTAAAAAAACTAAAAAATAAATATTTAAAAAATAAAATAAAGGTATTATGTCCAACTATAAGTAAAAAAAAATTAAATGGAAATATAACAAATATTTTTGTACTCTTTATAAATATAAAATCACTTTTTTAGTGTACAATGAAAATATACTACACACAATTTGGTTTAGGTTCAGATTAGCACAAATTGATGTGATAGAAAATAGTAAAAAGAAAATCAACTTTTTTTGTGTTTATTGTGTATGAGTTGAGTAAACTCAGGCAGAAGTCTTTGGACTTCTCTGGAGATGCAGTTTCCTCATGTTGGATTTGGAACTAGGGATAATAAATAAACCTCCCATCTACTTTACAAGATTATGGAGAAGATCAAATGTGAAATGGAATTAAAATTTACTTTTAAGTATGTGTTTAAGAAACAACCCTCAATAAATTTCCTGATGAAAATTACTTTTTTAATATTTATTTTTTAGTTTTAAGTGGACACAATATCTTTTATTTTTTATTTTTGTGTGGTGCTGAGAATTGAACCCAGTGCCTCACACATGCTAGGCGAGCGCGCTACCACTTGAGCCACATCCCCAGCCCTGAAAATTACTATTAAATATTTTAAAATTTGTTCAACATGCTGAATGGCCATTAAAAAAAAAATCAAGTAGGGGCTGCGGTTGTAGCTCAATGATAGAGCACTTACTTAGTATGTGTGAGGGACTGGTTTCCATCCTCAGTACCACATAAATTTTTTTTTAAGTATTTTTAAAAATCAAGCAATTCTGGGGCTGGAGTTATAACTCAGAGGTAGAACACTCACCTAGCATGAGTGAGGCACTGGGTTCAAGCCTCAGCACCACATAAAGTAAAATAAAGACATTTTGTCCACCTATAACTAAAAAATAAATATTAAAAAAAATCAAGCAATTCTGAATCTTTGCCAGTTTGTGAAGAAAGGGGAAAGAAAGGTGTGGGGTCAGAAAAATCCCAAGCAAGCAACTCAAAGGCTGAGGCAGGAGGATTGTGAGTTCAAAGCCAGCCTCAGCAAAAGTGAGGCACTAAGCAACTAAGTGAGACCCTGTCTCTAAATAAAATACAAAATAGGGCTGGGGATGTGGCTCAGTGGTCAAGTGCTCCTGAGTTCAATCCCCCCACTGCCAAAAAAGAAGAAAGTCCCAAGCAAGTACCCTAGCATAACCCATAAGGGGAGACAAGTGTCAAGTAGAATTGTGCACACAAGCCATCATCTCAGCCACTCTGACCATCATTCTCATGGGTAAAATATGAATACTAACAGTAATAACAACTGACAATTACTGGATGCTCTCTGTGGGCCACATACGATGTACAATTTCAAGCACATTACACACATATCAAGCCACTTAATTCCCACTATGACAGTCCTCATGGGAGGGAGGGACTATCAGTGTCTGTTTTGTGAGTAAGGAAACTGAAACACAGAGAAATTTTATTATTTACCTAGGACAGCCCTGTAGCAAGTGGGGAAGCCCAGGACCAATCCCAAACAATCAGAGTCTGTGCTCTTAAATGTGCTAGCCATCTAACTCCCTATGGGGTTATTGTGAAGATTAAATGAAATGATGTACATAAAGCACTCAGAGTAGTCCCAAGTGCACAGCACTATGATTAGCACTTCATTGTAAGGTATAAGGGTGGTGAGGCCTGCAGGTCTAAAGCCCTGGCATGAAGGAGATACTCTAGAATTGGTTCCCTTCCCCATAGACATCATGAGAAAACAGAACATGTTCCATGGTCCAAGCAGATGTGGAAATGCTCCTATATTAATGTTTATCCTGAGGGTAAGAGGTTGGCCCAACCTGTTAAATACACCTTTCCTACAGACAACCTTTTGTTACTACTCTGTTTCTGTTTTTCTTTTTGCTTTCTTTGTATTGTCTTTATGGTCTTCTAGAGAAAAAGTAAGGGTTCCTTGGGTTGGGAGAAGCCAGAGCCTAATGTCACAGAAGATAGAACTGGCATGAAATGTTGCCAGCATGTATTAAGTTCTCTAAAGTCCTTTCACCTTAGTTCACTGTGGCAAGGCATACCTGTAAAGCCAGGGACTAGTAGGATGTCTTTCCATGGCTGCCTCTTCTTGGATCTCAACCGGGTTTGACTATAAGGTTCACCCCATTCACACATCTGCCCACACATACATGTTCCCATAATCTGTATTTCACTCTCTCATATGAATACAATTACTTCTTCACAGCCACAGTCACTTGTCCAAACCAGGCATACCCTTGTGGCAAGGACCATCTACACACAACGCAAAACACATAGTTACCTTTCTTTACTCTCCCAGAAACCATGTGAAAAAAGGGGAACAAAAGGTTTGGGGTCAGGTAAAGAGTTCCTAGGTGTTGAACACTGGACTAGGTACTTAGGCATCATTTGGCCACAAAATTGCACACCCACATCTGTTTTCCAATACATAAGAACTTCACATGTATGTTTTTGCATGCCCCTTATTTGTATAACTACTTGTAATGTTCCAATGACATGACCCTTAAATTCACTCTTTATATTCGAACCCCTCACATTACCTGGCTATGTTTAGAATAGCCTCTGTTTTGCTTTCTCCATTTTCTGTTTGGTTGCTCTAGCACCCTAAAGGCAGACTTAACCTAAAGGTGATAGGGTTATGAGGTTTGTGAAATAGCACAATTTTGAAGACAGATCCAGCGGATTATTACATTTCTATTCAAAACCGACTTTGGGGCTGGGGTTGTGGCTCAGTGGTAGTGTGCTTGCCTGGCATGTATGAGGCACTGGGTTCAATTCTCACCACCACATAAAAATAAAGACAATAAAGTCCATCAACAACTAAAAAATAAAAATAAAAAACCACCAACTTTGTGTGACTTTTCTCTTGGAGGGAAAGCACTCAATTTCTCCAACAATGGGTAGGAGAAGGTGAGGTGGGGCAGGTGAGCAGCAGTGACTTTAGTAGGTCAGGTTGCTCAGTTGCTCAAAGACTGTGGACTGCATATAGACTTTCCCTGATCAGGAAGCAAATAAAGGAGAGCGTGACTCCACTCACTCAGCCCTAAGTCCAGCCACTGCTAAGCCAGGAGCACCCTGGAGTACCCAGGGATGTCACCTGAGTCTGGCATCCTCTTGGGCACAACTGTATGGCAATGGCCTGGATTTTTAGGTCCAGCTCTCCCTTTTTGGTTCATTCCAACCTCCTACCTCTTCGCCAGGGCCCTGTTCTTTCTCTTTCAAAGCCAACTCTCAAGCAAAGATGTGAAATTTCTTGGAGGATACCAGAGGGAAAACTTCAAAATTCAAGAGCACTGCTGAATTTCCAGGACACTGAAAAGAGCAAATTGGGCTGGGAAGGGCAATCCAGGATGTGTTCAGAAGGTAACAAACAGAAGGCCCATGCCCATACCAGGTGGAGAGGGCAATCACTTTCTGGAGCAGCCAGGGGAGGCAGCCATCCTCACCATTCCTGCAGACCTCAGGCTTCCTCCACCATGGCTATGGGCATCTGGAGGCAGTTGAACGGCAGAGGGCATGGGCTGACTGGTATAGTTACCTGAGCCATCTCTGTGAGGGATCTGGAGATAAAAATTTCAATGACCCCTATTTCTAAAGGGAATAGGCCTTATTTCATGACTGCTGAAAAAACAAGCCATCTTCAATACCTGGGAGGCTGGAAGCAGGAGGGAGCTACCAAAGGAGGGTGCCAGAAAGCATCCAAACCAAGAATAAGCACTTTATCAACTCCCAACCTATCCCCAAGAAATCTAAAAATGAGTACATTCTCCTACATAAAAGCAAGATCAGAGATTCACCTTGCTGGAGACAATCAGGAAGGAGAAGATGTTAAAGAGATAGGAACTTTATTGAAATATTCTCCCTGGTAAAGTCAGAATCTAAAGGTCACTGGAAAGGGTCAGCCCCTATTCCTTCACAAATATTCACAGGGACCCCTCTTGGGGAATCTCTGGGTCCCAAGTTTCCCCAGTTCCCAGACCCATCATCCTTAAGAGTCAGAATCCTCCACAGAGCTGGGCAAAGAACGGGCACTTAGAACCTGTGTTGATTGATCAACAGGCCTATGGGCAGTCAAGGAAAGGTAAGGCAGACAGTGAGGAGAGGAACAGAATGGAGAGAAAGAAGAAAGAAGAAAAGGAAAATAGGTGGAGAAAAGAAAAATCCAAAAGTGGGAGGACACACTGATAATATAGCCTCCCTAAAATACTAATATTGCATGAACTGATTAGCTTCATCCCCCCTGCTTCCCAAAATGATGGTGACATCACAGCTAAAAAAAAGGCCCATATAGTCCTGAACTTTTTATTTCCCTGACTGCATTAAGAAAAAAACAGATTCACCAAAAGCAACCAACAGGGATGAGCAGTGTGAAAGAGACAGGCAGGAAGGATAGTCTTCCAAGAGGATAAGTGATTTGGAAGTGAGGCCAAGGGGTTGGGGCTGTTCATTTGAGGGAGAAGAAAAGTCCAAGGACAGATTGCAACTCATCTGCCCCAGCTACCAGGCTTCATGGATGTCCCTTACAGAACTCGATTTTCTTTTCCAGTTGGCTTGCTCCTTGAAACAGTGTCCTGGTGGCTTTGGAGCCTCTGGCTCTCTGTGAGAGGATCTGGATCCTCCATAAAGTCCAAAGCAGCAGCCTCTCTTGCAGCAGGCATGGGACTGCTCCGAATTCTGAGCAATACTAAATCAAATTGGGGTTCTTTCTGGACCCCATCTGATCACCAATCTACTTACATTGCCTAATCAACCTTTTTCTCAAAATTTCCTTCTGATCCAGATGACTACCCAGTGCTGGTGGGTCCTGACCCAGGATAGGATTAAGGACCCAAGGATAGCTTGCTCCCAAGAGGAGTGGCCAGATGTGACCTTCAAAAGGAGCCCTTCAAGGCAGGCCTGGGCTATCCCTGTATGCACACATCTCACAGTACATGCTCCCTTCAAAGGGCACTTATCCACTGGGTCTCTGTGTCCCTCCAAGGGGACAGTGCTTGCCGGCCATGCAGGACTCTCATGATGAGTTCTTTCTCTGTGGCCTCAGGTTTGTCATCTTCCTGACCTCTCTTGGATGATGTACACACATATCCACACTCACTGGTGTTTGAAAGCCCTGGATGTCCTGTGGTACAGTCCATAGCTATCCATGTCAAGGACAGGTGGATGCTAAACCCTAAGCTTCAGTTGCCACTGATGCCAGATGGCTGGTGCTGGTTCTCACTGTAGGAAGTTTCTCTGGTTTAAGTGTTGGTGCATCAGGGAATGGAGAAGAAAAGAAAGGAAAAGCCATAGTAATGGGAAACTGAAGAAACAACTTTTCTGCCAAGTACTTCCACAGAGAAATTGTGGAACAGCCTCTTCCTAAATTTGGGAGAGGCTGACTGCCCAGCAAAGTCCCTAAGGACAAGGAACAAAGTCTCCATTGTCCACTCTGAACCCAACACCTTTGGGATCTGAGTTTTCCAAGACATGCAATAGACAAAGACACACTGCAAACCAATTAACCCTCTGAGCCCTTCCAGTACCCTCACTTAAGTTACTTCCAAGAGGGAACAGCCTGAGTCCACCACCCACTCACCACCTCTTGGGGCCAGTGATGGGTCTGAGCTCCCCAGCTGGGACATCACAGAAATGGCATTTGGGAGGCAGATCCTCACCCTGACCTAGGCACTCCTGTTCTCTCTTAGTGTTATGGAGAAACAGGGAAGAGGTACTGGGGACAGGCTCAAAATTCAGGTAAATTTAGATCCAAGAGGCTATCTGCCTTTGAAAGTCAGCCTAAGCTTGGGAGGGAGTAGAGGAGGTTTGGGGAACAAACAGAAGACCGTGTGTGGAAGGAGCCAACATGGACCTGAGAGCCCTCTTCACTCAGGCTGTGTTTAGCTTATTTGACCCTCATTTAGTATACACTAGAATTTAGCTGCTCTCTGTCCCTTCAAGACAGGACCCAGGAAAAGCAAGTAGAGCCTGATTTGCCTCAATCAGGCCTCCTAACTGAAGCAACAAGAAAAGCACACTATAATTCACAGTTTCCGCTCTCCTCCCTAGACCCACACACCTTCACCTACCACAGGCCTCAACAAAACTCCCAAATCTCCAGTGTGTACTGATTCTCACCAGTGTGGCTCAAAGGGTTAATAAACCAGGACTTCTCAGACAGGACACAAGCTCATTCACCAACAGGGACCCGAGAAGAGCTACACACTATCTAGTGCTTCTTGTAGCGATTCTTTGGGGTTTCACTACACCCTGTTTTGTCACAGTTGAGAGCACCTGGATTCTTCCCCAACCCGAGGCTACCCAGGAGGCTGGGAAGCTCCTGGGTGATGGCCCGCTCTATCTTCTCCAGAAAGCAACCTCCCATGTAGGAGCACTGCTGAGAGAGGAGTTTGAAATTGGAAATGGGGTTGATGCCAAAGAAGTCCTTGTAGGCCTCTCGGTTGGGAAGGTCAAACTTGCTAACATTGGTCTTTGCCAGGATGGTCTTAAAGATGTAGAATTTATCAGGATCTTCCACAATGTCCTTAAAGACCAGTTCTCCATCACTGAAGAAGGTCATTTTGTCCTTGTAAGTCTGCAGATAGCGGTCAACCAAGAGGGCATGAATGCGGACCCGAATGGCATGTTGGCGGATGAAAGCAATCTTGTTCTCCAACCTGTTTTCAATCACCTGGTTCAGGTCTTCTAGAAGGGAGATCTCTTCTTTGAGGAACAGTTCCCGGTGAGTGTCAGGTTTATAGTCTTGTGGCCAGAAGGAGCTGACATAAACCCTTGGAGGCTCTGTGACATTTATGAGAGGGGCCAAGCTCCAGAAGAGGGCCCCATACACTCGCATGAGCATCTGTGTGGCCAGGTTGTCAGCCTTGTTCAGGATGATCCTTATCTGAGACTCACGTCCCTTCAGCTGGCGAAAGAGCATCTCCAACTCCAGACCCACATCCAGCTTGGTGGGGTCAAAGACAACAAAGATGAGGTCGGCTCTATCGATGAACCACTGGCACACATCGTTGAAGGGGTATCCTTGAGGAGACAGAGTGAGAAGTCAAGCTGGTGGAGCTCATGCAAAGCCCCGCATACCTCCCTTCAGAACCAAATCATTCTGTGGGCTGAAAGTTCATGCTCTAGGGATTTTCTGAGTTTCTAAAGACTACTGAAGAATTAATTGCATATCTCCTGCTCTTTGTCAATCTCTAACCAAGAACAGCCTGATCCTTCCTTTCATCTACAGTGGAATCCAAGTCTCTAAGGAATTAAAATACTTGTTCAAAGTGGAGATTTTCCAACTGTCTAAAAAAATCTAGGGCAATGGAAAAACTGTTAAGGAAGTCAGGGAATTGGAAGAACGTGATAGAGGATGCAAGATTTAGGAGAAAGAAATAAGGATCCTGTGTTAAGACTGACAGAATTTGGGCTTTGCCACTGGACAGCTGGATAGAAAATGCTCCTAAGCTCTAGCTCCTTACCTACAATACAAGAAAAGCAGTAACTTCAAAACTGATGAGAAGATTATTATATTGTGATGAACAGGAAAGCACAGAATCAAAGCTTCCAGTCATATAGTGGTGCCCAATATATTTTAACTCCTTTTGCTTCTTATTTCCTCGATTTTCTTATTTACAAAATGAGATGAGGAATACCTATCTTGAAAACATAGCATTTTTAAAATTTTTATTAATTATTGATGGACCTTTATTCATTTATTTGTTTATATGTGGTGCTGAGAATCTAACCCAGTGCCTCACACATGCTAGGCAAGCATGCTACCCCTGAGCCACAACCTCAGCCCTGCATTTTTTTTTCACAATGACCAACCAATAATGCATAAAATTATCCAGTGTATAATTGGATATACATTGGGAGTACAATAAGGTTAATTTACTTTTATAATTGTGAGTGATAATATCATCACCAATAAAACAGGATCTAGTTATAATCCAAATGATGGTCATAACCATAAACTTAGATCAGGCATCTGGTCACATGTTTCTACAACTGCCCTGTTTAGGACTCATCAATGCAGATAGGCCTGTGTCACAACAGTACATAGTGGCCTATGCCGTGGCCTATGCCATGGCCTCAGGCTTGCCAGGCCCAAAGTGGTGTTCCCCTGACACTTGAAGGCAAGCAGGATCCTAGAAAGTCTGATAAAAAGCTAAGACAAAAGCAGAACTGAGTACACAGAAACTGGGAGTTAGGAAGACTCGAACATCAGGTGCAACCCAGAGCAAGCCCAGGAGCCCCAGGCCCAGTTTAGCCAGAAATTAAATATACCTGACTGGGATCTGATTAGTCCAGGCCCTTGACTACCCAGGACAGACTGAGCCTCCCAAAGACGATTCAGTCACAGCATAGATCTCTTGGAGCTCTTGCAGAGAAAACTAGTTCTCCTTATGGGAAAATATTGACCATCTTCAAACCAAATCAGTCCTTGGGGAGGTAGGAGGATGAGGCACTCCAAAACCCAGTGGCACCCCAGTGACAAGGAGAAGAAGGTGGAGGTAAATAATGCATCTCCTGGTCTTTGGCAACACTGGCCAAACTTCCTTCTCAAGTAATTTTCTAAGACAGAGCTCTTGCTATTCAAAAATGGGTGCTAAATTACCTCTTTCTTGTTGTTTGCGATTCTCAATGATGCCTGGTGTATCCACAAAAGTGACCCGCTCCAGAAGTTTGTGAGGAACCTCAATACCAATCAGCTTCTCCAGAAAATTCTGGCCAAACTTTTCGAGGGGCGAGAAGGATCGGGAACTGTCAGCGGCCATGACGATGCCCTCGATGGTTTTCAGCTTGGGCCCGTGCATCAGTACCGTGAACTCAGATGTGGTGGGCTCAGCACCTACATGCAGGGTGAGATTGCAGGAAAATAGTCATCTCTGAAAAACGGATGGCTGCAAAGAAGGTGAATAAGCAAGACTTTTCAGGGAGAGTTTGCCACAAGGGCAGGACATGTTTGCCAAGCTACTTGTTTCTTTCTTTCTTTCTTTCCTAATGGCATTAGCACATTTACATTGTAGTGCAACCATCACCACCATTTCCAGAACTTTTTCAATATTCCCAAATGGAAACTCTGTGTCCATTAAACAGTAACTCCCTTTTCTCCTTCCTCACAACTCCTAGCAACCACTATTCTACTTTCTCTACAAATTTTCCTACTGTTGGTACCTCATATGAGTGGAATCATACAATATTTGACCTTTGGTTTCTTGTTTCTCTCACTTAGCATATTACTTTCAAGCTTCATCAAGGTTGGAGCATCTGTCAGATGTATCTGATACATTCTCATAGCACAATCATCCCTTTCCAAGGCCAAGTGACATTTCATTATATGAACAAACCACATTTTGACTGTCCATTTACCCATCAGTGGACTTGTGGATTATTTCCACTTTTTGGCTACTTTAAATAATGCTGCTGTGAACACTGGTGTAGCTACCAGTTTCCTGTATGTATTTTTAATTATTATTGAAGATATATAAATGTTTCAATTTTTCATATTTTCATAGTACTTTTACATACGACATTCAAATACTAACAATCACATAAAAAAAAAAATCTCTTACCTGTATAGAGCTGGTAGCGAGTGTTTTCTAACCCAAGAAGATAGTTTATCATGGTGGATTTACCAACGCTCCATGGTCCCAGGAACAGCACCATTGGCTTGGAAGTGATCTCCCCATCTGTAGACAACAGGAATGAGAAATGGAAGTGAAAGAACAATAGCTCTTACTGTAGGGGTGACACTGTTCTCTAAAGCACTCTGCATCCCTGACCATCATCCAACTGAACTGAGCGATTCTGTGTGCACTGGTTCTGTGTAGCCATCAGTGGCACTTCTCTTGCTCTGTAAATGCAATCACTTATTTAAAAGAAGTTATTGTGTTGACCTTGCCCAAATCCTTGGCATATCTGCCCGCACCAGAAGGAGGAGCTAAGTGAATTCCACAAGCACTGGTTTAGTGCTTACTCTGGGAGAACAGTTCATAAAAAAGGAAGGAAAGAGCTTCTACAAGGAGAGAAGTTACAACTGTAACCCAAATTGATAACAGAGAAAGAAAGGACATGGAAGAAACTTATACAATCTGGGACCATCTGAATTCTGGACCTGCCTTGTCCCCAGCTCTACAGTTTTCTTCATTGGCTCCCCAAATCCTCACCTTAGGCTTAATTCAACCCTAGGCTCTAGGGCCAGTCTCTACTATTAGTGTCCAAAGTCCATTACAGATTTGCCTTTGTCCAAGACCAAACACTGAACAGGGTATATTAGGGTTCTAGGGCCCTGTGTTCAAGGACCTTCCAGAGTCCATGCTAGGAAGCCTAAAAAGCAAAGATGGTGTAGCTCAGGGTAGAGAACTTGCCTATCCTGTGTGAGGACCTGAGTTCCATCCCCAGTACCACACACACAAAAAAAGCAGGACAGGGAGGGGAGGGTGAGAGGCTTTTGACATGAGATGCAGTCAGTCCCACTGCTGATTTGCAGGCCTCCTCAGTGCCTCTCTCAGTTTTTCTCTGAATAATCAGTCCTACATAATTGAGTCTTCAGATGTCTCTGTCTCCCTGAGCTTACATAGAATACTAAAATCCTCCTTTTTATTTCTTTCATTTATTCTTATATTTTTATTTAATTCCTTGGCTCAAAAATCAGAAGTATAAAAAGATACACAATGAAAAAAACATCCATCCCTATCCCCAATCTCCCTGGGCCACAATACCATCTCTAATAGGTAACCACTGCTCAATGTCTTTTTTTTTTTTTTTTTTGGAGACAGGGGTCTCAGTATATTACTCAGGCTGGTCTCAAACTCTTAGTAGCTGGAACTACAGACATGTGCCACTGTGTCTGACGCCAGTGCTAATTTCTAACATATTTTTTTCGCTATCTCAATGCATATATAGCAGTGTTTATCTATATCATGTTCCCCTCTGTCTTTTTATAGTACTTCCTCTTCTGCATCTGGATGTTTTATGCACTGGTTTTCTTTCTCTGGAGTGAAGCTAAGTCCTAGAAGATTATGTCTTATGAATGCAGGCACATATACATTGCCTGGAAGGGATACCATGGTCATACCCCTTCTCTCCCTGCCTGTAAATATACAGAGGTCCCCATCTGGCTGGGGCAGGCAGGGAGGTGACAGGTATTCCCAGTTATAGCCATAGAGACTTCACAAAAGTCTCTTTACCCAGGCCCTGAGGTGGAGGTGAGGGTGGGGGTGAGGGAGGCCAAGGCAGGCCCTGCAGATCTGCAGGTTCTGAGACAGACCCCAGACAAGGTTCTGCTGTTCCTACTCTCAACAGCAGGAGGGCATCACGGGCATGTGTGGGAGAGACCAGCAAAGAGTGCCAGAGACAGGAGGTCATGCAGGAAACTGGAGAGGGACTTGGGGAGAAGAGCCAAGTTCAGAAAGTGAGACCAGGAGCCAGCAACATACGCCCTCCCTCCAGAGCACCATTCCTGGGACAACGGGCAGCCTCCTGGCCTCTGCTGCTTTCAAGATTGGGGTTTCCTGGGAGTGCCACACCACTCTTGGTGTCAAGGCTGGAGAAAAGGTAAGTGTGGAGGACAGAGCAGAGCCACTAGGAGACTGTAACCTCACACCAAGGTCTCTATGTTCTCTGTGAAAGAGAAGAGCACTACTTAGGATTGTGAGAAGAAGTATGGGAAGCTATAGAACAGGGTTTCCCCTGGGAGAAGATACAGAGTCTCCATCCTAATCCCATGTGTGTGACCCAGGAAACACAGTGCTTCCTAGGCATTGGGTTCCTCTTCTGTAAAACAATAATATATACCCGATAATATCCTATCTACTATATAGCTATTGAGAGAATCAAGTGAGATAACACAGGAAGACATTTGCAAGATCACAATTAAAACAGCAATAGGGCTGGGGTGAAGCTTAGTGGTAGAGCACTTATCTCAGTGGTAGAGGCCCTGGGTTCCATCACCAGCACCACAAAGATGAGTAACACTAAAAATGGCATGGCTGCAGGGGAATAAGTTCTCTCATCTACTGTTCTTTACCAATTGGTATAGTCAAAGGAAATTTGGCAACAAGTATCAAAATTTAATTTCAGTATTGCACTTTTTAAAAAAACATCTTATGAGTACACTTACATAAAATACGATTATGGTAATGCCTGGAACATTTTTTAAAATGGAAAATGAAAAGCACCCCATGTCTATCAGGAGGATACTGGTTATACAAAACATGAGAGGACCAAGAAAGGACCAAGCAGGCACCAGAAAGAAGAGGGATCTACACACACACACACACACACACACACAAACACACACACAAATACACGGCGCAATACACCCCATTTGTGTAAAAGAAAGACAGACTTCTCTATGCTCATGTTTGCAGAGGAAATGTCTGGAAGCATTCATGAAAGACTACAACACGGCATCTTTGGGAATGGAACTGGAGGAGTGAGAGATCAAGAAAGGAAGTGTTCCCCCCCCAATTTATACTATTATGTACTATTTAAAAACAATTTTTTATAAGAAGTAGGCCTCATTTTTATTATTTTCACCAGTCCAACACAAGCCACCTGGTAAGAATGACAGGTAGGAAGGGAGGAATACAGGCCAATCAGAGGACTCAGACATGATCCACAAGTGAACTGGAAGCCCTGGAGGGCTCATGAACACAGGAGCAATAGAAGCTCCCTGACCAGGCATCACCGTCCCAGAAATCAAAATCTGTGCTACTGAGACATAAATGCTTAACAACGAAATGCTATTTATCAATGCTTTGTGTACTATCTATCACTCCTCCTGGACATGAGTGCTTCACAGGACTAAGGTCCCTGTCTTGCCCAATTCTCAGGAGAGCTCAGTCCCTGGTGTACTTGAACATAGCACATATGGAACTTGTGAAATGTGTAGGCACTGGCATAGTCAGGGTGGTTCAGAGGTGTGGCCCCCACTCGGGCCATGCTGTACCTGTGATCTCATGCTGCCGAAGCTCATTGTATTTGTAAGACTGCTCCAGGGGCTTGATGGATGAATGGTAGATCTTTCGAAGCCGCTGCAGCACCGCTGGGGGCAAAGAGGGGTAAGAGAAGACTATCAGACTAGGTGGACTCCAGGCAGCTCCTTCATTGTGGGGTGACCTCACACCTTAGGCAGTTCTACCCATGTCTGGTGGGGAGCACGGTCATTGGCAACCCAAGAGAATGTGTGATATGCTCACTTTTGTGGAGGGAACTAGTCCACATCCCAATGTCTGAAGCCAAAAGCATCCTCCTACTTACCCAGCAAAGCCTCCTGAGTTCTTTTTTTAAACTTAACTTTTTTCTCCTCCTACCTCAACAGTGTATCTGGAAATACTAGCTCAGCCTACAGCCCAATTGAAGGTCCTCTCCTTGAAAAATGAGAATTCCATTTATTTTATATCTCTGCTGCCTGCCTCTGCTTGTGCTGCCCTAGACCCAGAGGTCAAAGAGGCCAGGTGCCCAGCAGGCCCACAGCACAGCTACACAAGCCCTTGCCTACCGCACTCCCAGTGCCCCTGGTTGGACCCAGACATCCCTAGGTGTCTTCCTGGGAGAGTCTGCCAGGTATGAGGCACACAAGAACTGAGCTCAGGAACCAAGAAACAATCTAGAGAGACTCTGGCCCTCACTCTGCTCCTCTCTGGCTGTGCACCAAGAACAAATTGCTGCCTTGCTCTGACCTTGGCTAGCTCATCAGTTAAGATGGGACAAGCCCTACTGAAATTCTCAGGTTATTATGATGATGAAATGAAACACTGGATTGGAAAGAGCCTAAAAGTCAAAACAAATGAGTTGAGTTCTTATTAACTATCCTCTCTGCCAGAGCACAGACGTGGGCATATTCTATGGAGGCGGCCCTGGGATTTGCCGTTGGCCCTTGTGGTAGTTGCTCAGATTGGATTGCCTCCCTACCAACCTGGAGGCTCCAGTGTTGGTTCTGCTCGTGGAGATGCCTCACATAGCACCGCCCCCCCCTTCCCAGGTTCCTTCTCTTCCTTGTGGTCCCTTCTGGCTTCAGAGTGACAGCCGTGAGGCTCTATTGCTCCCAGACTCTGCCTGGCTGCTGGCCACAGGGCTGGTCTGTCTCCCTCTCTTCTCTGGTTACCTGAGTAATCATCAGCTGGCTTGTCCTCATTCAGCATCAGGGTGGTCTCGATGTGGGAGCGGTCCCTCATTGGGGCTTCTTCACTCACATCCTCCGTTTCTTCTGAGGGAAAAAGCAGACAACAGGGTCAGGGTAAAGTAGGCCAGCTGAGCTCTGAGCTCCAGAGAGAGGGACCAGGGCTGGGCCTCAAACAGGTGCTCAACAAGTTGCCAGGTTGAACTGAACTGAGTTCTGCCTTTAGGATAGAATTAGAAAATCCAAATTTAAATTCAAAGTATTGGGATCCATTTTATTTACTGAACACCTATTACATGCCCAGCACCTAGTGTCATGCTGGGAATGCAGTGGTGCCCACAGGGAGCTTTCCCACAGATTAGTGGGAGATAAATGATGAATAGTCTTTAAAATATGTAATAATTAAGAACAGTAAGGAAGCTATGAGATGAAGAATCCTGGCAGCTACAGGGCCTAGGGCTGTGCCTACAGCCTTAGCAGGGAGTCAGAGGAGTCTCCCTTGAGGTCTGAAGCTAAGAAGGGGTTAATTAGTAAAGAAAGAGGAGTTTCTATGAAGGACCATATAGGAATTGTTTAGCAAGATGCAGAGAAGCAGTCTATAGCCGGTCACAGGGAAGGGGAACTGGGTGCTGGGGAGCTGAAGAGGTCCACAGGGGCCTTAAAGGCCACCATGGGGGTTTGCATTTCATTCAAGGCAATGGGAGCCATTCAAACAAGTGACAGAACAAATGAGTTATCAGGATCACACTGGCAGGAGAATGGGTAGAAGGAGCCACTGCTGTGTCTGGGGCGTGTGTGTGTGTGTGTGAGTGTGTGTGTGTGTGTGTGTGTGTGTGTGTGTGTGTATGTGTGTGTTTAGGGTCCAGGTCCCTCTGCACCCTAAGCAAAAAACAGATGGCCATGCCCACCACCAGCTAGCTCCAGGGCACAGGCTGCTCACCTCCCTAGGCCTCTAAGGTCACAACCTTTTTAGCCAGGCCACCTGCTCAGAGGGTCTCAGATTAGGAGCAGGTAGACTTGGATCTGTGGGGCAGAGGGAGACCAGTATCCATATGCATCATGCAGTATCTGAGTTCAAACCTATGCATCTCCAGAAGGGAAGACAGGGAACAGGGAGGTGCTTACTGCTTGCAGGCCCACTACAGAGAATATAAGCACTTGACAGAGTATATACATTAAGTTCTGCAAGGAAACCTGCGGGAAGCTGTCTGGGAAAGTGAACACCTGACCCCAACCGCCACCCTGAAAGCCCAGCTTCTGTTCTACTCGCGGTCATGGGGAATGAGGACTGAGGATCCTGAGGGTCCTAGCATCACTGCCCAATAGCTTCTTCTCTGCCCTATGCCCTCCCTTCCTATTCCCTAGCTCTTTGAGGGCTACTCTACTCCAGGTGGACGTTTCAGGGACATCAGTGGTCATAGTCAGCCCAAGTTCTCATTCTGTGATCCTGGCCTCTTGGTCACAGTTCCCATTCCTCCTACAGGAGGTGTTCAAGTGGAGACCCAGGAACTAGTTCACAAGGCGATCACTTAGTGGTTCCCAACCGCCCTCCAACTCTCTGCACATTGCTTCACCAGCCGGACTTGGGGCCTCATTCCCTGCCATCAGTCCTCTTATGCCTTGTCCTCAAGGCACTGGTCCATCTAGCAAACCTAAAGGAGAGGTTCAGAGAGCCAGACTCTGAAATGGCCAAGTCCCTCTGGATCTTCTTGCTCAGTCCCCCCACACTGGAGAAGACAGAGGATACCTCCCCAGGCTGGTACCCCGAACAGGCCCCACCTGGCAAACCCACAGCTACCTAGGGACTCTCCCTCACATCCCATCCCTGATTGTCTTTCCTATACAAGACTTCCATGAAGAATGGAACTGCCCAAGGCTCTGGGGTTGCCTTAAGGAATCAATTCCTACCCTGAGGAGCAATTACAGGATTCCCCCTCCCCTGATGTCCCTCTTCCGGCTCCTTTGCATCAGAGTCCTGGGCCTCGCCACCCTCAGACCCTGTATTTAATCCCTCTGTGCCAAGCTGGGCCCCTTCCTGCCCAGAGTTCGTGGCTTCTGCTGCTTCCTGGGGCTCCCCAGCCTCCTGGGAGGTGCCCCCTTCCTCTTCTGAGCTAGCCCCATCGCCACTGTCTTCTCCAGACTCTTCTTTGGATGGAACTCCTCCTTCCTCCTCACTTTCACCTTCTTCACCACCCTCTTCTTCAGAGGAGGCCTCATCTGGCTCCTCCTCAGGCATCCCTGGTGCCCAGCCCTCAGGGGGAAGGTCCTCCTGGGTCTCCCTGGTGCTGGAGCTCTGGGCATCCCCAGACGCTTCACTGGCCTCTGTGGCTAGGCCAGCCTCCTGGCTGAGGCTGGGTTCCCCCAGGTTCTTGGACCCCTCCCCGGCTTCTGTGTCCGGTTCAGCCTCCAACTCTACTCCCATAGGTGTGGCCACAGGGATTCCATCTAGCTCTGCTGGTGGGTGGTCAGGCTCTGGGATGCCCTCGCCTTCTGCCTCCAGGGCATCATCGGCCTGGGGCTGTGGCTGGTCCTCAGCCCCCTCCCCAGCTTCTGTGTCCTTGTCACTCTCTGACTCTTCTCCAGCAGATGTGGTGATGGGGGCTCCATTTGGCTCTACCAGCTGGTGATCAGGCCCTGGGCTGCCCTTGCCTTCTGCCTCTGGGGTGTGGGCCTCTTTATCCTCTTCCCTAGGAGAGGCTCCCAAGGCTTCAGGCTCTGTCACCCCTGATACTGCTCCCTGCATGGAGCTGTCTCCTAGGACTCCCCTGGCTTCCTTGTCACTCTCCTCCTGTCCCTCTGCCTCCCCACTGGAAGTTCCCAAAGTGGGATGCCCCAGCCCAGCCTCTTCCTCTCCTGGTCCCTCTCCCAAACTGAGCTCTGGTCTCTCCTCTTCCACGGGACCCTTATCCCCTCCTGGAAGGAGGGTGCCTGCCACTGGTGGCCCCTTCTCTTCCTCCCCAGTCCCTGTAGCATCCCCAGGTGGAGCTGACTCTGAGGCTGAGGCATTGGAGAGGCTGGCTTCTGGCTCGGGGCCTGGGCCAGTGTCAGCAGGAGGGGCCCCGGTGGCGGTCTGCTCCGAGCTCTCAGCCTCCCTGTGGTCTGGGTAGTGAAGGAGCAGATTCTTGTCTCCAGGGGCCGCATCTGCATTAAGCGCCCTTTCTTTTTCCTCTAGACTTGCGTCTCCAGCAGAGAAATGATTCTCCAACAAATTGCCAACATCTTCTGTGCCACCCGAAGCAGGGACTTGCAGTTCTAAATGATTAGAACATGATTGGTCAGTTCACGGGGTTGGCACTTGCTCTGGTTCTCAAGAGTCTACAAGAATCTAGCTCCCGCTGACGGGAATATGGCGTGTGCCTGGTATGCAGGGTTATGCCTCCCTCCCCAGGTTGTCATGATCACCTGCCTCCATCCCAAGATGTTAGAGGACTGACCCATCATCCATCACTAAGTGAGTTAGATGATACACTACCCCAAGAGCCCCAAAGACCTATCCCTGACCTTCAAGTCCCCATTAGGTCCTAATGATTACAATGGATGGAAACTTGGGTGAGCCCTTACAGTCCTTCAACCTTGCTGACAGGCACGTGCCACCTGGCTCACGAGGAGATACTTCCAAGATAGGACAATGTTTGTACATTCCACCCCTGGTCAGTTCCTAGAGTCATTAACCAGCATGCTTTTTATACTGCTATCAGCAAAGGGGTGAAAACAGGTGTTTGCAGGCCAGATAATCTTAGGTTACATGGCAAAGTACTTAGGGGATTACTTGTGGCTCTCAACCTTATTAAGTCACACATCTAACTCTGTCCCCTTTAGGGCAGGCATTTGCTGGCCTCACTACCTTAGATTAGAGGGGACAGGGACTGAAGAGGAGATATCCAAATCAGGCAGGCCTGGGCTTCCCAGTGGCCTCAGCCAACCCCTTCTAAGGGGATCCCCTTCTAAGGGCCTGTAGCTTTACCCAGAGAGGGAGGGCATAAGAGGGAGCAGGAGAGAGCATACAGGAGCCCAGTCTGTGCCAGAGACTGCTGCCAAAGGTCAAGTTTAATAATTTTGGAAAATGGGGTGGGAAGCAAGGGTTGGGCCTATTCCTTTTGCCCCTCCTGCCCAGACTGGGATCTGTTTAAAGAGGAGGCCCCACCATGGGAGGACAGTGCAGGCTCATGGGGATCAGGGGACTGCACATAACTCACCTTGAGGTGGCTGAGACAGCCCCAACTCCCTTGACTCTCAAGGCCTCTTTCTCCCCACCCCTCTGCTGGGTATAGACACCCTTCTCTCATCTCAGGCAAAGTCTGGTGCTCCTATCTCTGTGTCCCATAAAGAAAAGTCTTTCAGCCTCAGAGAACCCTCTCCCTGGTTCTCAGAAAGCTGGGGCAGCCTCCAGGGTCAGGAAGAGAGATTTTCTCATTAGTCCTTTCATGCAGCCTACATGAAATTCAGAAGGATGGAAAACTTTTGGGACTTTTTATTACAAAGGAGCCCTACACTAATATATAAAGTTTTCTGCAAGCACTTTCACAAACATGACCACATTTAACTTCCTTCATTACTGCCAGACAAATTTTAGGGCCAAATTAGTGGATGGTCTTTGACCTGCCCCAGACATGTGGCCACCAGGTGACTAAGGGGTAAAAAACCCAGAACTGCCAACTCCTGGTCTGTGATATATTCAGCGGGCACAGGAAACCCCTTTCCAGAGTGACTTCAGTCCCTTCCTGAAGGTGCCTTCCCTCTTGGTTCATGCTCTAGACTGCTCATGGATGGCGGGAATCATGTCTTTAATTCTGTATTCCCAGGTCACAGGCTGACCCATAGAAAGTGCTAAAAGAGGTTACATACAGGTACAAGTAAGAATTCCTGATCTCTTAGTTGGTGG